TAACGACGCGGATGATCAATGCGTCTGGTGGCCCGGAAACCCCGCCGTCGAAATCATTTTCTGAAAATCACTTCAAACCGAAGAAATTACGATGAAAACAAGATCATTCGATCCCCTTCATTCCATCCGAATAGCGCGAATGAAAACAAAAATATTTTGGCGAGTGCCAGCAAGTCGAGAAGGCACGTCGTCCGCATGAGAGACGGGAGACTCTCAAAGACGCTCTCGGGATTCGGGTTAGAGACCGCGGCATCTCGTTTATTATGTCACTCGAGACGCGTGCCGCGGGAATTACTTAATCTCGCAGCGTGAGGTCATCCCGACTGGAAATAGATAGTGACAGTTTGCGGCGAACGACAGTGCGAGGTGCGGCCGTGCACGTGGTCGTTAAATCCTCCCGTCACATAGGATGGGAAAGATGGGTGAAAATGTTCGTGCATGGAAAGAAGTATTTATCTAATAAGTCTAATCTTTTGCTGAAGCACCTAAAAATTTGATCAGATACAAATTTGAAAATAATTTTGTTGAGTAATCAAAATCTATCAAAATTATGTAGCGTGCTTAACTATGATGCTGATACTACTATGATAAAATTTCTATTAACTAATTTGAACGTTTAATATAAATATTTTGATGATCCAAAAAAATCAAAATTATTTAGATCTTTATGTAGTCAAATTTTTACTTCAACAAAATTATTCTCTCTGTGTACCATCGTTTTTTTTAAAGCCATCAAAATTGATTGTTAATATCTACAATCCAGTAGCCATTCAGTGCCAGTAGTTCTTAACGACAGTGTTATCACCACATTATCGTTGCGCAAGTCTAATATATGGCAGAAAAGCTGTACAATGTAACGATAACGACATCGTCGTTAAGAATAATAGAGTAGGCCTATAGACTACCCGTGATCGTTGATGGCAAATTACTTTGTTATTTAGAGATGAAAATCCTAATACCAAAATGCCGAGGTATAATAACAGTTCTTAAATAAGAAGTATTTAAAAGTGAGATTAAATTGTCTGTAATTTAATGAGGCATGTCACAGCTGTTAAATGCTATTACATGAAATGCATTATAAATTAAATATGACTTCATATCTTCAACGTGATGCGCCATGTCTGGGCGCATAAATTTCAGAAATTTAATTAATTGATTTTGAACTTTCCTTATTTAACAATTTATAGTTTCAGCATTTTGGTATTAGAATTTTTATATCAAAAACGATTCCTCAAAGACTTGTTACTAACGAATGTCATTAACGGAAGGGCTATGATCTAATAAATATTCATTATCATTATGTATCGTTATGTATCATTATAATAAAAATACAAATTTTTAATATTTTATCACATAGCCAAAATTAATTAAAAAAAAAATTAAGTTAGTATCAAAGTTCTAGAAAGCTAAAAATTGCTGCAAATTATCATTGTGCTTTAACACATCACGCACAATTGAGTCACTTTAAATCGCTTAAAATTCGCTTCTAATTGGAATTTCATCATATTGTATTATTAATGATTCATATTTCATTTAATGATTCTATTATATCTCATTATGAATCCTACTATATTATTATTCGCACGTCACAAGCATAATATGAATTCTTTTTTACGTCATCGGGATGAAGTTACAGTGTTACAATCCAGTCGATGACGGCAATCGATTCAATCAGAACGGCAATCGATTTAACCAGAATCGCGTGATTATGGTGAAATTTTTAACCATAATTAAAAATTCATTATGTCTAATTTTCCTTATGTATGTCGAATGACCAAAAGATCATTAATTATTCACATTGACACAACGTCATTACTCTCGATGAATTAACACTCTACGACGAATTTTTTTCGCCTGCGGAAAATAAATTACACAAATGGAAAATATTGATTAAATCAATGAGACTAAAAAAATATACATTCATGGATACGTGAGCCGTTCAACATCATAAATAAAAATCAACTTGATCGTAAATCGATCAATTTAGTCGGAATTTCATCAAAGCCATTCCACATAAAAATCGTGGCTCGAAAATCATGACTGGGGCCGTCTTATCTTGCGGTTGCATAGAGATATCGGTGAGTGTCGTGAGGAAGGAATGCACGCGAGAACGCGTGTGGGTGGTGAACTAATATTGTTATCACACGAGATATGGGATACGAATTTAACGACTCGACCCACACCGAGCCGAGCTGGAGACCGCTGGGGTTCGATGGACGCGACGCCATCCTGAGAATCGATTTCTAAGGATCCGTTCTAGTTTCCATAACGCTCATCTCGCGCATCGAAATCGCACTACATCCTCGCAAGTGATTTAACCCCGATTTAAACGATTTATTACATCAGCTTTTTTTTACGCCTTTTAAAGATGACATTCGTAATCCGATCTTAAATCTACGGCACACGACGCTTTTTTTTTCGTATTAATTCGATCACGCGATCTAATAATCACGCACGATCCAACATTCATCATTTAGTAGTAACTTATTAGATCGCATCTGTGTTAACATGAGAATTAATTTCGTGTGCCGTGGAAAAAATGATTTTGCTAAAGGCTCTAAAAATTTGGCCAGAAAATAATTGGATGTTGGATTATAAAAATAATTATATGGAACACTTAAGCATGATGATGCTGTAAAAAAACATTCTAGCGACCAATTTGAACGTCCCACATAATTATTTTAATGATTTTAATTATCAAAATTATCTTCTCAAAATTATTTTCAGATCTACATCTGATCAAATTTTTAGATATTTCTCAGCACGCAAAACGATTTTCTTTAATTATATATTTAATTCTTAAATATATGGATTTTATTTTACGATTATCTATTTCACTGGCTAAGTGAACTTTTAAAATGACTTAAAATTTACAATTGAACCATGAATAATTGTCCTAAAGAGAATTATTCCGAAAATCAATACACAGATAATAATACGATTATCCCCGGATTAAAAGTGTTCTAAAAAGCATCTTTCGCGTCGATCGTTAGACGCATACGATGCATCACACATGCACACGACGAACCTGTAATAAGCGCGCCTCTCGAGGTGCTCCTGTAGTCGACCGCAAAAATTATAACGTAAACAAATAAAAAACGTCCCTCGCGGCTTCCATTCGCGAGGCGAGACGGGAAAGTCGCGCGGGAGAGAATTTCGTCGACCCTGTTTTTCATTCCTGTTAATCTGCTAGCCCAGGTCAACCGAGTGTGAAGCTGTCAACGTAGTTTCTCTCATTCATTACCGCGGAACTACGCCCCGCCGCGCCGCTCTCCCACGTTCAGGTGAGACGAGGACAGAGCGAGCGGACGATCGCCTACACACGTCGAATTAGCGCGCGGCTACCTATCAACTTGCGTCGTATCGCGTCACGTCGCATCGCCTCGCGACAAAATCACATCTCCCCCGTAAAAGAAGAGAATCCCGAGGACGGCACGGTCCAGCCATCGCGAGATGATCCCGACGCGCAATACAAACGTTCCGTTTCCCCGCGAACAAACTGTTGTTACCTGTTCCACCTGTTACAGCTCCTCTCCGGTTATTCCTCCTCCTCCTGCTCCTCCTTCTCCTCTTCCTCCGTTGCCGCTTATCGCCTCGTCTCCTTTGTAACGACGACGCCGCTGCGCGTTTCCACCTTCTTCTCGTTCACCTTCGCCTCTTTCAGCGTAATTCAGTTCCGACTGAAGACGCACAAACAACTCGTGCCTAATTCACGATCGTTCACTGAACGCGAATCACCGCTCCGCATCCCGGCGTGTATCGCGGCGTTCCCCCTCTCCTCCCTACTTTGTCCGTTACGTCGGGAAAAATGAGTACGCGAAAACGCGAGACTTGCGCTCGATGTCACCGGACGACGGGAAGTGACAGTTTTACGAACACAGAAGGGAGATCGAAACGATTTCTTGAAAATGAGTTTTGGAACACATCGTCCAATCATATTGGCCGATGCTTAGGAATTTTCTAATGGACTACCCAATTGGAAAATTTTTAATTAATAATGAGAGCAACATATAACGATCGATTCGATAGCATATAACGCGGATTGGCCAATTAAATATAAAATATTCTGATTGGTGATTCGTTGGAAAATTCCTGAGCATCGACTGATGTGAGTGGATGTGTGCTATCGCATTCTGCGCTAATGGGACCCACCATTAATAATAATCCCTCCAGATCCCTCTGGTTTTGTAATTAGTATACAGAAGATTAAGGTTCCGTGCAATGGAGGAAATTTTAGGAACAGAAATAAATAATAAATTTTGAAAATGAAAATTCAGACTGAAGATTGAACGCACACAGATAAGTAAATGTAAGATATGGCTGTATCTTACATTTATTTGTTACGTTTAATTTTTATTTCGAATTTTCATTTCCAAAATTTAATATTCATTCTTAATACTTCGTTTATTATGTGCAAGGTCTAAAATAATACCAACATGATTTATTACTATAGGATAAATGAACATGCAGAAATTGTAATTATAAAAATGACGTTTTAAATAGAATTAAATATCATCAAGTTATAAATACATGTGCATGTCTAAGATCAGGATAATAAAGCAAAAAGTTAATATAACTGATATCTAATTGTTGAAATTTTAATAATCAAATGAACCTCCATAAGATCTGTAATAACACTTTACAAAAGACATAAACTGAGTTACAGCAAAATAAATATGTCGATTCAGTAGTCTACATTTAATTACGTTTATGACGGTCACATGGGTAAGCATTATGTTTTTATAGCTGAATTTTTTGCCTGCTCTCTCTCTCTCTCTCTCTCTCTCTCTCTCTCTCTCTTTCTCCAATGTCTAATTATATATCTGTCTCATTTTAGATACAGGAAATATAGCATCCTATACATTTAAAAATCACATATGGAAGAACCTAGAGTCAGGTACTTGAGGGCAAAGGACATTCATGGCACGCATAATGATGCGAAGTAACGAGGTGGGGAGACGGTCAACCAGTGGATGACGGAGCAGATTATCTCGAGTTCGTGGTAGCTGAAAAACGAAGAGGACCCGGAACGGTCAGCGCAACGTCGAAAACCTCCGGTTTAAGACGCAAATCCGCGCGCGTATTCCTGAACCAAGAAGTTAACCTCGGTGCAATGGTTCTAGGTGACGTCGAGCACCGATAACGGAAAGAACTCGGGACACGATGGCGACGGGTAAACGGCGTAGCATTCACACGTCGTCGTCTGGGAACATTGGCGCGTCCGGTTACTCCAACAGCGGTCCGCGCTCGAACAGCAGGATGAACTTTCGACCGAGTGGTGCCCAGCAGGAGGACCGCGGTGGCACTCGGCCGACCGCGGCGCCGAGTTCGATCGGCCTCATTCTAGTCACCATGCTATTGCATGTATGCAAGAAGTCATTGCTGTTCGACACCCGGCTCAAGGTGGCCATCTATTGCGGCACGATATTCACAGTGTCCCTAATCGCGGACTTCATTGCGATGCCACGTACTTACTTCTCTAGGTCCGACAACGTCCTGAATCAGTACTTCGTCAAGTGGGGCTGGGGCTGGCTGTTGTCCTTAATCGTGCCCTGGGTTGTCTTGACGGCACACACATTGGGCTGTGGCCGCCGGCCGATTCTGCTGAGGCATCTGGCACGTGTCATATTTGCGACTATTGCCTGGCTCGTCTGGACGAAACTGTTCAACTATATCGAAACCAACTATGGCAGATGCCTAGGCACTCGCGATGTTCAGATGCAGTCCAAAGCCAGATGTCTACAATCTGGTAGATTCTGGAGCGGCCTTGACATATCTGGACATACATTCATTTTAATCTACTCAAGCTTGATACTTGCCGAAGAAGGCTCTTCCCTGGTAGGATGGGAGGGTATTAAGGATCTGATAATGCGGGAAGAGCACACACGGTCCACACCGACCGAGATCAGCTCCGGTCCCCTGCGAAATCTCTCCGACAGCGACCTGGAGTTCCTGAAGAAGGCGCACCGGGCACTCACACCATATCTACGCGGCCTTTTCGTAGTAATGACATTGCAGCAATTGCTATGGGATATCATGCTGGTGTCGACGATGCTCTACTATCACATAATGATCGAGAAGTTTCTCGGTGGCGTAGCCGCAGTTATTACATGGTATGTCACGTATCAATGGTGGTACAAGTTGCCAAAGATCGGCCTGCCAGCACCCGGTGACGGCCTCTTCAAGTACAATGAGGTGAAAACAAATTCGGAGATCAGCGCCAGAGCAAGACGCACCACTCTGAACGGTACCAATCAACCGAGGTTCATGGGAATGCCGATCAGAACACAGGAAAGCACAGAACCGAATCCATCATCCAGACAAGTGGATCTCGACGTGCCTAATTCGAGGGGGTAAAAATACACCGTTTTCAATTAAGGGATCGCTCTCTTAAATCGGGACTCTTCTCTACTTAAACTAAGGATGATTACGCAACGTGGATAATTTTTTACACAGAAATTGATTATTCAAAAATTAATATCCGGATTCATTCATAACATCTTGCCTTCATAAAATTTCCTTCCCTTTATATTTAAACAGCATTAACACGTTGCACCGAGAATAGATAATTAAGTAAATATTCAGATATATTCACAGTCCATGGAAATAGGGTTTGTATTTGAACGTCGGAATAATGTAAAATATAATTTCGAAGGATATACGTGACTGCCTTCCTTCACTTTTTTTACATGTAAATAAAGAATTTCACGTATTCGCGTAATTTATTGGGTTTTGGGACAATCAGTCAAGCTGAACGGGGCAGCTTCCATGCTTTTAAGTTATTTGTAATTATAGGATGATAAACAAGAGCCTGCGCTTTTTTGACGCCTCCGTATGGATTGTTATTAACAAGAAAGAAAAAGACACTTTTATTGGATCTGTTTAGGCTTTAAAATTAGTGTCTTCAGTAATACTTCTGGACTTTGTTTTGTAATTTATATTTAATAAAGTCTGTTATTAACAAAGTATCCGTTCCTTCCTAAGTTAAACAGACTGCGAAATGAAATTAGTGTTATTTATATGCCATGTTATATTTATACACGGAAAGAAAGTACAAAATATATATATATAGTTATGAAATTTATGAAATTTTTCATTTTTATACTTAGAACATTCGCTGCATTTAGGAAAGCATATATTTATTATTTTTTCTTTTTTTCTTCCACAGATAGAAGATCGCAGATCATTAATTATTTTTACATGATTCTAATTTGGCAATAATGAAAAATCATTTATTATGAATTGAATTAAAGAAATTTATATTTTGGTTTCCACATATCATTTCTAGCATAACAAAACAGTATGTAATTTGTTGGAAACTTTGTTATAATAATCTTATCCCTTTATTACAGGGATTAAACTTCCTTGTCCATTAAATGAAAAATAATAGCTGTGTACTTCTGATTAATTCTTATTGGCAAAATCAATATTTACTTACTTTACGAAAAATAATTTTTACATTAATTTACCAATACTTTTAGTAATCGTAATAAAACGCAAATTAATAAGTTTATCAATATAGTTGCAGAATATTTGGCAACATAGAGATCTTTGATAGTCCACGATGTTTAATATTTATGTCGGAAATAAAAGTGATACTAGAATAGTCGATTTGTACAGACATGATAATTTACATCAATTAATATCAGTTCACCAATCTACTTTCTGCTTTAGAAGCATTATAACTTATCATATCTATAAATTCTTTGTGCGTTAACAAAATTCGATGAATTGACGCATAACTATTCATTAAAACGCAAGAGTTATCTTCGTAATTCCTCGATGGATAATGTATTTCTCATGTTTCACATTTTACATAAAAATAGCCGCTCGAGTGTTATTGAAACAAACTCGAGAGAGACTGTACAATACCAATCGTTATATTTAAGCGCTATCTAAGAAAGAGAAAAGTCTAATGAAGAAATAAAACGTAAATAATGGGATTCAACCCTGTATTGTAAAAACCAGGACAAACTTGCTTGTATACACCATCACACTCTAACAGGCCTCACATATTTCATTGTTTCGTGATGGTGATGGCAGCTAATTATACAGTACTTAAACAACATTTAATACATACGTATCTATTCACATCCGCAAACAGAGACTGAATATCGAAATGATTCCGATTAGCAATTATATACCGATGTCAAGTATGTTTTTATTTTCATAAAAATCTTTAATTACATTTATATTGTACTGGTACAATCAAATATTTGTGCTGTACCAATAGATATATATACATTTGTAATATCGTATCATCTCAATATTATAAGTATAGTATTGATCAAATCAATCAGATTTACAGTACATACTTAATATACAAGAAAAAGTGAAAAGAAAATAAATTTTTACGAGAAAAAGAAATAAACAAATTTAAGATTTTAGGAAATTACAATTATACTAATATATTCTAAAAATTAAAATTGATAATCCATAACTTCGGCGAATTTACGTTTTACAATAATAAATGTGTAAATGATTTTTTACTGATGGTTATTATTAATAGAAATAAATTTTGTATTAAAATATCGATATATTAAATATCATAAGATATATCAAGATATCATACTATGAATCTGATTAACACATACAGATTTTATTTATTGAAAAATTATATATATACGTTACATCAGAATTCTTATTTTTTTTTTTAATTGCTATGTATAAAAAGCAATATTAATTATGTCCTTTTCAGTCTCTATTCACGAAGAGCATACGTTAGTTAATCGAGTCGATTTTAAACTTTCGACCTTTTACGGGCAATCGCGTCTTCCACGGCCTTGAGTTGCTTTAGCAATTCCTCGCGTCGCGAGCTCGCCTTCTTGGCGGCTTTGGCTGCCGCTGCTGCCACTTGCGCCTTGTTATCAATTAACGGCGGTGATTCAATACCTCGTTTTTTACCTGCCATAAGCGCACTACGGTCGATCTTCTTTACCGCTGTGGTATTGCTCGTAGGTTTCAGCGTTAATTTAATTTGCTGCTTCGTGCCGCTCAGCTTCAAAGCGTCAATACCTTTGGAATCTTTACGTGTTATTGGCGGTGTCGAACCTTTCCTTCTGCGCGCTTCGCTGGAGGACGATGAATAACTCGACTCGCTTGAGTCGCTGCTACTTCCGCTGCTTTCTGACCCCGAACTACTGTGAGACGATCTGAAATATAAATTTTTTTTGCTTTAATTTTATATAAAAATGCTGTACAAAGATGCACACGTACGTATTATAAAATTAGATTTGTTGATTATCTGAATCATAGTACTAATTTTATCATCATCCATGTATCAGCTTGAGAATATTTTAAAAAAAGAAATGAAAAATTTTTTAAATTTATATTTTTTCCGTATGGGATTTTTTTGTTATATAACATTACTTGTAACTTAAAAGTAAATTCCTTTTACCTAGATCTGGAGCGACTTTTAATTATCTTAGCCACAGCAGCCGCAGCGATAGCAGCTTTTTGTTCCCTAGCTTTGTCATGATGACGATGAGACGAGAACAGACTTGGGGCAGGTGGATTCAGTCCAGCTCGTCGATGCAGCGTACCCGTGGTAGGGGAGATAGAGCCTTTCGATGGACGAGGAGAGGGAGCGGGAGGATTCATTAACATGGCACCTCTTTGAGGTGTAGTTGTAGCGATAGCCGGGGGATTTGAGGATGGTGGACTGACAACAGTGGATTTGCTTTTGCCGGCAGAACGGGTTCTAGATCGAGGGGAAGGAGAACGGGACCTGGATAGGGAGTCGTAAGAACTGTAGCTAGAACGGCTCGAGCTACGGCTAGAACTAAAAAGATGATACTCCTATATATAATAAAGTGGCGCGTATATGTACAGACAAAAAGGTGCATGCAATCATCAATTATTGCTACGTTTTTATTTCCTCTTTTCGCATAAAAAATATTATTAAATTAATATTCTTAATAAGTCATTTAGATTTTCTGAGAATTTTTTTAACAGTCAAACTATGTTGTAAAATACTAATAATATATGTGAGAGAGTGAAAGAGAGAGACTCTTTTATGAACCTTAGCATAATCAATCGTATACGAATAATACCTTGTTGAAGAATACGAAGATCCAGAAGAATAAGACTGCCGTCTAGATCGACGGGACGACGTGTTGCGGCGCACAGCACTCGGAGACTTGCGTCGCATCCATGGATCCGCCCATTCGTCACCTCTACTCCTTTCGGCAGGAGGTGGCTCTTCTTCTCGCCATGGTTTCGTCGGGGGAATACGTTCCACGATGACCTCGCGCGACGGTCTTTTATGCTTCTTTTCGTATTTCTCGTAATAATCACGCTCTCTATCGCGTTCGCGATCCCGTTCCCTTTCTCGGTCGCGGTTGTGTGATGGCGGAGAAACTGAATGCGCACCGCGAGGAATCGGGTGATAATCGTAACGATCTCGATAGTCGCGAGGCTCTTTGTAATGCACTCTCCTGATTGTTGAAAATAAAGATAAAAGTAGAAACAAGTCTGATCACGAAGCGTTTGTTAGATCAAAATAAAGATATACAATATAAAAATAATTCTTTCCTAGCTTAGTTATAAAATGATTGTTTTCGTCTCACCTATAATAGTCGGATGACGCAGATGGGGGGTAATATCCCTCGGGTTCATCGACATATCTCTCTGGCGTGATTCTAGACGATGATATTCTGCGTGGTACCTCACGTTGTGGCCATCTTTCGACCGGTGGTTCGGGACTAGCCGCTCTCACGTAATATCCCGCTTCTCGATCCAATTCATCTTGTCCTAAACTCAGGTTCATCTTTTTCTCTTCGAAGTCCATGTCTGATTCTTTGCGTTTATTGGCTTTGCGCATCATCTAAATAGTCGAATAAAAAAATATCTCCCTTGAAACTTGATTATGTAAATTTCAGATTGGAAATTGTTGAAAGCATCGTTTATAAATAATATGCATAACGCCATATGCGAGAATATCTTGCAAATAACTTACTTCCTTGGCATGGCGTAAGCCACGCTCCCAGGCGGACTCGGTTGGCGTTTCTTCCACTTTGGGTGCGTGTGTAGGAGCACCATAACTCGGTAATGACGCTCGCATACTCGGTCTCTCGATGTGGGACCTATATTCGTGCGGCGCGGCAGCGTGCGGCGGATATGCCATAGGCCTCACCATATCGAACATAGTGTAATTACCTTTGTCCGTCACTCCAGGATGTAAAAATCTACAACTAACACCCCATGTGCATTGGCCCCGATTGTAGAAGCGGCACACTGGTCTCGGCTCGGTTTCCTCTGGCCGTGCATCATCTCCGTCGCTAAGCTCCCCTTCTTCTAATTCAGATTCCTCTTTTTCACCCTCTTCCCCTTCTTCCTTATCATTAATCTCACCGGATTCTTTTGACTTTGCCTTGTCTTTATCTTTTTCTTTATTATCTTTTTTCTGTATTTTCTTTAGTTTCTTTCGTAACAGATGTCTCAGTTTCACCTGAAATTTTATCAATTACAATAATTATATATATAATTATATATATTAATTTTGTACACACTCTCACCTCGTTTAATGAAATCCATAAAATTATTATATTACATAACATAAAGATATTCATGCATATTCATGCAATTTCTAGCATAAAAATTGGATTTAAAACTTGAAATTTATAACGTATTTACCTTCGTCACGTTCGTCTTTCCATTGACCATCGGCTTCAAAGTCCAATTGTTCACTTTCCTCCGTCAAGCCAACTGGTGCAATTTTGTCTTCTTTTTCTACTTTTTCTTCATCATTGATAGATTCCTGTTTAATATCTTGTTCTTGAGCCTTATCTGTTTCTGCGTTCTGTTCAGTGGATTCTTCAGGTCCATCTATACTCTCAAGATCCGATACATCCGACAAATCTTCGCCATGGGTCATAGGCGCAGGTTTAGACTTGGACATGGGCTCTGGTTCGTCCTCAATATCGCCATCCGAAATTTGCTCGCCGTCTAATTCGTTATACGAACCATTCTTTTCTTCCTCGGGAGATCGAGGACCCGAATGCACCGGTGATTGTTTATCTGATTCTTGATCATCCATAGGAGACGCTGGACCGGACTTGAACGACTTCGGTGAGCTTCTTGCAGACATCAAGGACTTGACAGAACTCGCGCCCGATCTGGGCGATTTTGGTGAACTTTGCCTGGACTCGCTATTCTTATATGAATATGATTTTAACGAGTTGTCGGCAGATCTTTGAGTATCCGCCTCGAGGTCGGATCCCTTCGATTCGGCGTCTCCGAAACGCATAGATTTAGAATCGTTTGAAGGAGAGAGACATGATCCGTTATCCTGAACAGGCGATCGCGACATGCTGCGATCCGATCGAGGCGAATCGAGAGAGTTATTTTCTGAATGATAGGACTTTGGCGAGTCATTCAGGTGATATGTTGGCGATGCGGGTGGACGATATGTTGGGGACATAGGCGATGACGGCGACAGCGGCGGCGGAGACTTCGATAAACTACGGCTCGGAGAACCCTCCTCGCTGGGAGACATTATGCCAGATCGCTGCGATTTCGGCGATAATGGCGTGGACCGTGGCGACTTGGACTCACCGCCCGATAACGGCGATCGCGGAGACTTTCCCTCGGAGAAGGTAGAACTTGCCGCGGACTTTCGCCGCTCCGTTTCGGAGGAATGATGCGAGTAGCGTGACGATGTCACTTCATCCCCGGTCGACGTGATCCGATTTCTGTCTTCGTCATAACCTTCCGTGGAAGTACTGTCTGTACCAGAGTCGGACATGTCGAACTCTATATCAGCCTGTAAATCAATGATACTCGTTAGAAGATGCCAAGCGATTTCAAACGGACAGGAACGAATGGGAAATGTCTTGATTAGATCTTTAAAATATGTAACCCATGTATTCGAATCTCACTCTTACTTGGTAAGTTAAAAATTCTTTTTTTTTTTTTTTCTTTTAGGCGTACCGACCGAATGTAGCACTGAATAATCTGCGTCACAGAGCTTACCTGTGTCAATCAGTGTCTGTGAAGTATTCGCTCTTGATGGCACAACGCGCGCGATCCATATCGTGTCGAACATACTTTCTTATATCACAACTTTGGACCTTTTTTTTTATTTTTATTTTTTTTTTATTTGGAACTTTTTCTTATACTTTATTACTTAAACTGAACTTTGTTTGCTCACATATGCGGAAACGTATGTCGTTTTGTTGGTTTAGACATTCTCTTGCGCGGAACTTTTTTTTAATGTCGGTTTAAACTTTCAACTTGAACACAACACAAACTAAGAAAGTACCGATAAACCACGAACCGTTTTTGTACTTGCACTAGAAACTATAGCGAACGAACTTTCAACCTGAAAGAATATTTTTTGGCCTATGGGGGAGAGAAAGAAAATGGGAGGAGGAACCAGAGGGCGAGTTGAAGAACGACAAAAACATGAAGAAAGCTTCAATGTAATGATACTTTTTATTCTAATGGTGTCACATTAATGATCTTTTCTTGGCAAAATGTAATTCAATATTTTATTAAGAGTTCAACAGAATAATTTTTACTTAATACAACTCCTGATTTTTACAGATTAGATTCCATATTTACAGTTTAAAGCTCTCCATGTTTGATCAGAATTAAACTTTGCCATTGTGACAAGTCCAATGACATTTAAGAACGTGAATTCTTGGTCTTAAAGTATAAAAAGAACTTGTGCTATGTGTTACAAAAAAACGTCAAGGGATCTACAGTAATGATTGCAGCAATTACAAACAGAGAAACAACCTTTTACATTCAGTTCCAAATTAAACAGATCTGAACGTCTAACGTAGTAAATCTTATTTTTTTCTTCGAGACTTCGAGATTTACGTACTAGTTTCCATTTAAAAGGAAATAAAAGACGAGAGCAAGATGTATTTTGCAAGATGCGTGCTCTCTCTTTCCCCTTGTTACAAATATCAAAATATCGCCTTGTGTGCAGATTTACGCATTGCCTCCAAAGCGCGGAGGAGGTTAAAACTTCCGTTAGAAGGTTAAGGCGATACCAATTAATTACTGCAATCGAGGCGGGAGGAATACGCGAAGCGTGAACGAACGTGCATGCATGCATGTATGCATGCGTGCGAGCGAGCGAGCGAGCGAGCGAGCGAGCGAGCGTGCGTGCGTGCGTGCATGCAAACGCGATACAGAGTTGCGTTCGGGATTTGCACGGGGTGTAAGGCAGCAAGGATCAACACCGTTATCATATTCGCGATAGCTGTCCTTGAGAACGGGACGTCGGCGGTGCGTCTTACCTTGGTCTCGTGTGTATTACGAGGCCTGCGCGGGCCTCGGGAGAGACTCGAGCCACTAACGAGGCTCCAAGGCGGCCGGCGTCACCCCGTAAAGCTGACGTTTTTCTCGTCACCGCGATGTGAGACTTGGTTCGCAAGTCACGTCTCCCACGACGGACGACGCTCGGCTACACGACTCGGCACCCGTTCGATGCGAGAAACGCGTCCAATCCGACGAATTCCTCGACTTGGCACGTCGCGCAGATCGGACAACCCGTCGCCCGTCGCCGTAGTCGCGAAGAGAACAAAGCACAAACGTTATGAGAATGAGAGAGAGAAAGAGAGAGAGAGGGAATCGAGGAAAACGCAACGTCCGTTTCACGGCCTGAGAGTTGGAGAATCATTAGACGAGCGTGGATGTGCTCCGCGAAAGGACGCGTTCATCAAAATCGACCAATCCGCTGCCGAATGCAATCCCTTCCATTAAGTCCCGGTCTACAATAGGTAATTTAAGCCTTAAGCCACAAGAAATGGACGAATTATAATCGAAGACTAGGAGAATAATCGATTGGTCACTATGATTGGTCAATTTATTCTTATGGCTTAAGGCTAAATCATCTATTGTAGACCGGGATTTACACCATGCATATGATTATGCTGCAAGTTTGTCTGAATAGGCCCTTACTTTCAGATCAATGGGCGCTTGATCGTCGATTGATTTATTAAATATTAGAAGGTATTTGATAAATGGTTTACTAGAAAATTTTTAAGCATCGGCTAACGTAAATGAATGTGTCCAATTGCAACGTAATCAAACGGAACGGGAGTGTTGCCCGTTTGATCACGCTGCGATTGACCACAGCCACTCACAGCGGCCGTTGCCTAGAGATTTTCCTCTGTTCAAACGCTATGAGAGGTTGGTCAAACAGGCCTCACTCAAACGGAACTCTCTTTCTCAGATACTTGTAATTATCCGACTGTATATAAATACACGGATGATGCAGCACGTGTATATTTGGTGTGAATGTTACTATGCTCTTGATATATTATAATAGAAAAATTATGCAGATTGTAATCATCTCTAAACTTGTGCATTATTAAGAATCGTATTTTGGCCAAAGAGAAGAATTCTACACTGTAGATTGGAAATTAATAGAACAAGAGAAGAAGAAGAGGAAAAAGAAATAGAAAAAGAGGAAGAAGGAGAAAAAAAAATGGAACAATAGATAAAATATGCTACTATCTGCAAAAATTGTAATATAATGATTAATATAATAATTAAAAATAAAAAACTTGCAGCACTAAATGAATTAGCAGGAATCCAATTAAGTTTTATTCTATTACATACTTTTGGAGAAAAATTTAAGAAAGAATTTGAAGGAAAAGCTGAGAATAAATTATGTTTGATGCAAACTTTAATAAACGAACACTTTTACAGAAAGGAGATAAATAAAGACCGTGCAAGCTGCAAACATTGTCTATTGAAAGTTGCTGAATTATAAAATTCAATAAGATACGTGATATCTAAGTACTTTTAAACGAATTCGTTATTATACCAAAAAAAATGACCTTAAATGCAGGAAATCGCTAACTACTAGTTGTCACTAGACATAGGATTAATATCTCTGTATAAACGTAGTCATTATCTGTTTAATAAATTTTAACAATTTTAATAGATTAGATTTTAAAAATAGATAAGACTATCATTAGTAAATTAGTGTAGGTTACCGTCTTATTGTTAATGAAATAAACATTGTAAACTGACACTTTGTATAGTTTTTCATTTTTATTTTTTTTTTAATCTATTTTTTTACCTATATTTATATCAATATTTACATTTATTTGTAGCTTGAGATGCATTCATATTCATATTCAGAATGTTATGCTCTTTGGCATGTTGCAATAATAAAGTTGCAAACTTTATATCTGTAAAAGAAAATAGTTGATTATTGTTTAGAAAATATTAATAAAAATATATTTATTTAATGCTTTTTTTATACAAAGCGACAGAATTTGAGACAAGGCATACTTTGCCTTGCGAAGCAAATTATTAAGCACTAAAGTTGAGTTTTTTGAAAATTAAGGAATCAATCAGATATATATATGATGAAACATGCGTGAGCAATGAACGAATCTTAAAAGTACAAACTTACATGATTTTGTAATATTCTAATTCATTCCACGAGGCAGAGCACTTTTTCTTGCCAGAGATCCGTAAATAATTAACAAAATAGTATTCATATTAAAATAAAAAAATTTGAGATTAATAATTGCATTCTTACTTCTTACTTTTTTAGCATTCTTCAGCATGAGTTAATAATAATTTATAATCTTTATTGTCAACATCAATAAGTACGATTTCGTCTATGGATGCTGCCATGCTGTGACTGCCTCACCTCGCGAGCCGCAGTAACGAAAGCAGGAAGTGACAAACAAAATCTATGAGAATACTTTGAAAGTAAGAATACTTTGAAAGTTTACTGTTGCGTATATCGGAATAGTATTTGCAGCTGCAGTAGTACTGTGTAGTATACTTACAGTGATATCGGAACGCAGCCTATGAACAAAGAAACAAGCTGGTAAATAGTTTATGCATATTTTATTTGATGCATATATTTTATAAATTAAGTTTCAATTTTCTCATAAATATATTCCTATAAATATAATAATTTTTTAACTTATTCACATTTTATCAATTATTTTAATATAAATTACTATTTTATGTAATTAAAATCGTGTAAGATTAAGTAATTAAAATTATGTAAGTCTGCTATTAAAATTTCATACAAAATGTAGATTTTTATAAGTTTACAATTTTCTTGATTATTTAGAATGATAAATCCTTTTGTACAATTACATGTTAATATATATGATTCTGCTCATACTTATATAAAATGTAAAAAAAAATTAAGAAATTACAGATTAGCATCGATTTGTAATTCAACACTGTCCAGAGCTGTTAAGTTACTAAAAACATTTTAAAAAATTCTGCAAATTACATGTACAAAATAAAAGCAGAGCCAGATATGCAATAAATGAAAGAATAATATTAAATTACTATAAATAAATTTAGAAGCCTATCAAAAATTTAGAAAGTCTAAATTTAGAAGCCTAGAAGAATATCAAAATTAAAATGCATTGTAATCTATATATAATGCATCTATATGTAATATGTGTAAAATATTGATAAAATAGAATAAATTTGTACTGTAACTTTCTGCGTCATTCTTTACATTATTCACAATGTAGACAAAAGTAATTAGGATAGAATAAATAACTTAGAATATAACATATGATAACAATAATATTTAATAATACCTAATAATAATAGGTATTTAATAATAATTATTAAATAATAAGTAATAATACTTAATAAAAATTATTAATATTTATACATAAAAATAATTAATCGAATATTAAAATATATAATTCAAAATTTCAAATCTTATCAAATTTTCTTTAAGCTAAAATATATTCAAGATTGATGTACTAAATGTAAAAGATCTCACTGCATTTCCCAGATCATATTCTATTTAAAAACTCAGAGAGAAGAACACCATTAAGAACAATTCTAAAGAGGAAATGCGCAATTTATTTTTCCCCATCTATTTTTATTTCCATATATTTTTTAATTTTACACACATACACATCTTTGATGATAAGAAAAGGAGAAATAATCACAGTTATACAATACATTTATCGATATATACACATATTGGACATTCTACGAAGTTGTATTTCGTGACTACATGCTCTTAGATGAAGAAAAAGATGCGTTTTTCTTGCCCACTTTTTTTTAGGAGTGTGTCTTATATTTTGTCGCAAAAAGATAATGAAGAAGGAAAAGATTAGCATCTACACGATACTTCGCACATATGCGAGAAGAATCGAGAAATAAAAATGTATCTTCTAAGGAAGATATACTGAATGTTTCGTCTAAAATGGGGATTCTTCTAGAACTCGCGTTCTGTCGCTGTGCATTTTGACGCAAGACTTAAAATAGCGCGAACGTTCTCTCGGATCTTGAATGTTCCATCATCGGTTCTCCTTGATTGCCTTGGTCGCTTTGCATCGACAGCTGTGTCAATTTGCTAGCCAGCGCGGGATTCGTCTGCATCATTCGGAGTAGCGCATCCGCGGGAATGCTGTAAAATAAAGTATTATTTATTTATATCTTCTCACTTTGATAATGCTGCAACAAGAATGATTTCAATCAAGTCTCGATCGATTTAGTTGGCAATCAATTTTAACTGAAAAGAAATTTGAGGAAAAAAATTAATTTTTTCCTCAAAAGGTGAATGACGAATGACGAAAGATGATTTCCAAAATCGTCTTTCTTTTTTCATTTCTATTTTAATGTAAATTAGCTTTAATTTTCTTTTTTTAATTTAAAATTAAAGATAAGAAAATAAGTTGAATTTAACTCATTACTTAACGAAATTAAGTAATAAAGTTTTTATTGCAGGAAAAGCAAATAAAAAAAAAAAATTTCCTTTGTAATTTGGTCTAACGCAAGACATTTTTCATTTTCACTTTATTTTATTACTTGTGGAATTTATTTGAATACTCACGCATGCGGAAAATTTTGCAAAATCGACAAGAGGACTCTTTCTCGCTCGTTCAGATCCGGGACATCCGCAGGACTATCCCTCTTCCCAAATCCGATCGCCGTGGAAATGTACTCCGGTTTGAAGCCGCGGATCTCCCTCAGCTTCGTTCGGTGTTTAAAGAAATGAGGATAATTTCGACCCTTGGATGCAGCGGTCGTTGCGATGAAGAACCCCACGACGAAAACCAATGCAATTGCTAATATCGCTCGCATGATTCCTTGACATAAAAAAAGATAGGCACGTCGAACATATCGGTAATGAACGTTCAGACAATATATAATTATACGTGCGTTAGAATGATACACAAGATACAAGCCTCCTTCGCGAAAGATCATATTCGTCGTCGTTAATATGTTTATGATCGATCAAGCGATGCATCGCGCTTGCATCTTAATTTTCAAAGTATGAACATCTTACGAGATCTCGCTGGAGAATGTCGGAATATCGTGTATTGATCGGCACAAATATATTGTGCGCAGGGGATCATTTCTCAATAATAAATTATACTTACTGCGATATGCACTGAGATTGAGTATTAGCGCACTATATTAGATACAGACATTTTCAATTAGTAAAGCATTTATATCATAATATGTACTAATAGCGGTAAAACAGTAATTTCTGTCTTCGCTTGGAATGTTCCATATTACGTAGAAATAGAAGTACTAAGAGTTAGATTATTAATAATAAAAATAAGTTATTGTATCAGTCAAGTGGAAACAAATGTAAGAGTAATATCTTTTCTAATAATTTCAGATAAAAAAATTTTTAAGTTTCAACACAAAATATTTTCTGTAAATTTTCGTGCAAATTTTAAAATAATGATTTAAATTAATCGATTTTTTTAAAGGCATCCAAATACTTCATCAGATATATTTATAATGTAAAGAAGAAAATGCTAGAACAAGCGCGGGCGTGTCTGCATTCAATTCGACGGAAATCTTTCGATTACGTAAATCGATGTCTCTGATTTTAATATTTTATATTTTTTTCTAAGTGCGAGACTGAGATGAATTTTAACGTATTTTTATGCATTGGTGCACATCGGTCCATTTTTTAATTATAATTTATGTTTATTGCAATGTGCGATGGAGATTGATTATTGATGCACGATATTTAGATATATATATTTTTAATATAATTAGTAAAGCATTTACCACAATATGTACTAATAACAGCAATAAAACGATACCTTTTGTCTTCAATGTTCCATACTGTATGGGAATAGAAGGACAAAAAATTAGATTAATAATAGATTATTGCATCAATTAAATGAAGATAAGTGTGAGAGAAATATTTTTTCTAATAATTTCAGATTAAAAAAATTTTTAATTTTGATAAAACGCTTTCCTGCAGATTTTCCAATTTTTTCACGCAGACTTTAAAATAATGATATAATTCAATGAATTTTTCGAAAGGCGTCCAATTATTTCATCAAATTTAATTAAGAAGTAAAAAAGAAAATATCAGAACAATCGCGGGCGTGTCAGCTTTTGATCCGATGAAAATACATAAATCGATGCCTCTAATTTTGATATATTTTTTTTGTAAATACGAAACGATGAAGATAAATTTTAGATACGATACGCGTACACGTCGATTCAGCCATCTTTATGTCTGGAAATCAGTTCTTATAATTTATACTTACTGCGATATGATTGCACAAAGCTTGATTATTAATGCATATTTAGATACGTACATTTTTAGTTAGTAAAGCATTTATCACAATATGTATTAATAATAGGAATAAAACTTCTGTTTTCACTTGGAACGTTCCATATTGCTTCGAAACAGAAGCACTAAAAATTAGATTATTAATAAAATAAAAATAAATTACTGCATCGACTAAGTAAAAACGAGCGTGAAAAGATTATTTTACTAATGATTTCAGGTCAGAAAATTTTTAAGTTCTTGAGTTAACAGAAAACTTAGTTTCCTATAGACTTTCCAACGTAATTCTTTCACGCAGATTTTAGAATAACGATTTAAATGAATTGATTTTTCGAGAGACATCCAATTTCTCTAGATTTAATTAAGATGTAAAAAAAGAAAATGTCAAAATCGCGGACATATTTGTATCCAATTAAAAATTCGACAGAAATCATTCGAATATGTAGATCGTGTTTCTAATTTTAATATATTCTTTTCCGCAGGTGCGAAACGATCGAAATGAATTTTAACGATACGCGTCGTATATCGGTCCATCGGATTCTCAATGATTCCAGAGAAAGAGACGTCGATTTGATCCGTACGTGCGAGAACCGAGGACTGAGCTCCGTGACAATTCCATGTCGTTTTGTATGAAGCCGCCGACGTCGGCGTCGCGGCCGCCGGCGACGCCGTCGTCGCCACCGCCGACGCCGCCGAGGCCGCGCGATTGTATTTTCTGTTAATTTCTTTAATGTGCCCTGCCAGTCAGCCAATTTTATCGTTGCATTGAAATCTCCAGCGCAATCGTATGCAAACGTTTTATCGCGAAATTTCATGAGAAGGCATTTTGCGAAATGCAAAGAGATGCTGTAATCACCACTTCCGCCGCCCCCGCCGCCGCCGCCGCCGTCGCCGCCGCCGCCGTCGTGCGTCGTGCGTAAGTCTAGCCGCCGATGCGTATGCGAAATTTCCCTGCAGTACGTGACGATCCTTCCCCCGAGGACATTTCTCGTGATGACAACGCCACACCCACGCTTTTACGTAATTTACATCGGTTCGTTGTGAACATTTTTTTTAGATGCGAGCGCGTTAGATCTGGCCGATGATTAATTCAAAGAGCAGAGGCTAATTAAATTAGGGCGGTAATTTCCTGAATGAACAAACTTTCAAATTATGCGAACACGAAGTTTTTCTACGCAGTGCAGGAGACACGGAGACACGAAGACATAAATGTCAAGTAATTAATAAAGAAGTTAATTTTCTACTCTTGTCTCTTTTATTTATACAAAATATATATATATGTCTTTATAATGTAGGAATATAATAATATATATAATCATTTACAATATGCGTAATATTATTTCACGGTTTGGAAACAACGTCATTTCGTCAATCTGACTAAGGCATGATCTAAAATTACAACAGGTATCTCTTTCAGAATAAGAGAACGTGGAATACCAGAATATTTCACGAAAAGTTCCAAAAAATGGAGATTGGTAGCTCCTTCTATTTCCGCGTCACTTCCTCCTTTCATACTAAACAAATATTCTCGTTAGTAATATAATAATTTACTATAAATTGTTGTACTCCGTATATATTGAGAAATTAGGAAATTATTTTTACCTTTCTATGGTAACAAACGATAGGACGTACATACAAAAATATTTCACATAACGATTCATCACGGAAACATGGAACTGACGAAGAATCGTTTGTATTCCTATGGCAAATACCACAGCATCAACGGGATCTTGATATTTCTTGCTTAACAGACTTGCTACAAAAAAGGAAGAATATTTATCATTTAATTTTAATACAGAATATATGTGCATATATACTTATGATGCAATCGCACCTGTATTTTTGCAATAATATAATTTATTTAACTGCGATACTGTGAATAAGAAAATAATAAGAGCTATATTATCTATCTTTGGTGGCTTGATGTAAACTTTATTATGTGGATCACTGATGCCAGCCCAATCCAATCGCACGCTAAGTTCGTGAAGTAATTCGCTTTTTTCCGGTTCGGTTTCATTACTGTTATCTTTTCTCGATATCTCATATAAAATGGCTCTATAAAATAAAAGAAAAAAATTGAAATATGAAATTAAAAAGAAAATCACAATGTTTTTAAGTTAGTTTTTAATTAATTTCTGCATACGTATTCAACGTTCGGAGTGCCGCTTCCATATGTTTCGCCTCAAATTTGCATGCCGTGTTTAGCTCATATGCTATCTTCTTTCTAAGTAATTGATAGTGACCTATTTTCAATGTCCACTCGAGTGCCGACAACCACAATTTACTGCTACTAGCGCTTATAGAATTGTGAAGCTTCGTAATGTTACCTGAGACATGCGAATCAATGCTTTGCAATGTATGTTAATTATCCTTATATTCATGATATTTTTCTAATGCGTCGCGGATTTTTACCTTTAGCACTGTCTAAAGAATTTAAAGTGGTCTCACAATCTTCTAACAATGACATCCACATTTTATTTCGTATCCCTTTTTCTATATAATGAACTAAAGCTTCAAGTTCGATAACAATGAAAAAAGAGATTAGTTTGTCCAATCCCGCCAAACCTGGTGTGCTTATTGTTTCTAATATCACGGAAAAGACTTTGTAATTCAAGACTTCATTTTGCGTTTTAACATCATACCATGCTAGAGTATGTTCTATGTATACTGTAGTTCTAGAAAAAGCATAAATTAAGAAATGTAATACAATCATGATACAGTCGTAATGTAAATAACATAATACCGAGGATCAGTAATACGGATAAGTTCTCTGGCAAGTCTACCCATGAATGTCAAAGAGTTATTATCTGTTGGAAATGCATGTTTATCTTCTTGAAACTGCCTCCAAGATTTTCCTGGTACCCAGGAAAATCCCCTGCGCTCTTCTTCCACCGCATTGTTTATAATATACGTAATCTAAGAATATATAATATATAAGAATTATATAATGCATATTTAGGATGAAATATATGCGCGTTTTATGAAAATGTTTTTGTGCAACTTATATCAAAATTGTATAGTCATGTAATTTTCTCACTTCTTCGTGCCATATCTTCAAACTGTTTATGTTAATGTAATCCTGAATATATTGGAAAGATTTTCTGTATCCATCCATAATTGAGGATAAATTATTTAGTTTTTGCAGAAGAGACGTCTAGAAAAATGTTTGTGATGATTAGATATATATAATCTAAGAAATTCTTTCTCATTTACCAGAATTTACCTTGGATTTCTGATCGAAATTGAGACCATTCTGTAAAGCTGAAGTAACTTTCTTGACAAGTTCCTGACGTATACCATCTTCTAAGAGACGATGCGAATCAACTCTTAAAACTCCTAAAGATACACTTCTCAGTGACAAAACGCCCTTTGTAAAAACTGATACAGCATATGTTAATTTTGCCATCTAGAAAAATATTTTAATGTTTTCTTTTAAATATACTAAAAAAATAACTTGATTTTTAAAGATATTTTATGCATATAATGCATATAATAAAAATATATATTAATTTTTAAATTGTAAGAAAGAATCTTTGCGAAATCTTTGTAAATGTAATTCGTAATGAGAATTATTAGTATAAATATACCTGCAATCTCTCAGTCAATTGTGCATAATCTTTAAGTTTATCTTTTGGTAATTTAGTCGGGATTTCTTTAAATGAATTCGTTTCAAGATGCACTATTTCTGCCAACAAACCAAATACAGTTTCGGGAATAATTTGCAAAACGCGTCTCGCATATCCTTCCAGTTCTCTGCTATAATATTGCGATACGGAGGACAAATCCGCGCTTCGTGCTTGATTTACTCTAAGCAATGGAGTTTCCAATGCAGATGCCATCTGTAAAAATAATATGTAAAAATAATAATATATAAATAACATATAAAGTAAAAAGCATGTATATATGACTTTTAATTGCACACACTTTAAGAAAAAGAGCTTTTAGTTTGATGACAGTCGGTGGATTTCCCTTTATACTCTCTTGCATCACGTCAATAAAAGATTCCATAATATTCCACGCGTAACAACAATCGGTTACAATATTTAAACTTATCATGACATCTTCAGATATACTACCTGTACGCAACATATTATGTAAAGTCTCACGTGTGTCAGCCAGATATTGCGAAATGTGTAGATTATTTTCTAGTTGATGAAATTCTGAAAAAAGATGTAAATTTAGCATAATTAACATAAACATTTATGTGAATTTACCTTCAGAATTGACGTTTATTGATTCAAATTTCTTTACCCTGAACTTGTTCCAATGCCTGCACTAATTGTACTATTTTCCGCCCATCTTCTTGCTTTAATGAATCAATATGTTTGCTTATTTCCATGAACCATGTATAAAGATCTTGATTTTTATCGATGCCATCTAAAGGTTTAGCGCCACCAAAAATTTGTGCAAGATCAGTTATGCGTTCGACGCAAATCCCTTTATCTTTTAGCCACTTGGTCTCTTTTCCGAGCAAGAGCTAATGTAAAAAGAAAAATTTATTCATATAAGCAAATACAGTAATAAAATGACAAATAATTTTAAACGTACATCTTTATACATTTGTTTAACATCCTGTTCAATTTGAGCAGTGCTTAGTAATAAACGAAGACATTTTTGTGTGGTATATTTGCTTTCCATTATAACTAATTGTCGTAGAGTACGTGAACGTTTTGAATCCTCTAGCACTATGGTAGGCATAGTAGTGTGTAGAAGAATCCAATGCAAAATAACATTGCATTCCCTTACTAATTTGACCAAAGAACCCGTTGCATTTTCATCTAGTGTACCTGCTAATTGCACTTCTTCAGTCTCTTGTATCAATTTCTGAAATATTTTTTATATAAAGTAAGATACTAAGGATAGGATATCTAAGATATTAAGAATATCTGCTTTTTCAAAAATATATTAAATTTTTTGCATTTTTTTTACGATATAAATACAAAATCCTATAAAAGAGATAACATTATAATCTATAATTCGCATATATATTGCAGATAAAATAATTTATTTATTTCAAAGTGTTGTTTTCCTAAATTTTTACTTACATCCATTTTTGCTCCATATTTCTGCGCAATTCCTTTCACATTTGAATTCTCAAGAGTATTATTCAATGCTGTTCGCGCAGCTTTATATGGTGACCACCAATCGCACAGATTAATAACTGTTCCCATATAAATACTAATTACCCAGTTATCAGGAAAAAATCTATCTACTATTTCTCTCATAATCGCAGTTTGTATATGAAGCACTGTCGATTTAAAAGATAAAATTATTACTAGCATTGATGCTTGTGTAGCCACAGCAGTACTACGATGCTCTGGATGTGGAAAAGCTAAAGTCTGATTATAAATCTCATCCGAACGTAATCGACCAATAACCAGATCTATCAAAAAATCGCGCAAAGGTACTCTCCTAAAAATAGGTACATATTTTTACTATGTGTATTTTAAGCCACTCAATTGCATTAAATTTTCTTTATTCAGATTGTATTTCATACTTGAAATATTCTTCCGGATAATTAGCTGGCCTTTTAAATAACGTCCTTACATATCCTGTTGAACGGAGTAGCATACAAACATCATCCACTCTTGTTGAAGAAGACCGTTGAGCATTGTATCGATAGTAGGCTACAAGTAATCTTTCACGTATTCGGCCTTCAAAATGATAATCGACCAGCAACAGCATGACACCATACAAATATACAGCTTCGCACTGCACAAGTTTAATTAATCTATTTTAATACATGCGAGTACACATTTGGTATATCAACATAATAGTCTCTATAAAGCAGATTGCTGATTGTTGCTTAGAATAAAAAATACCATTAACTGTTTCCCTTCCTCGTTGAACATAATAGAATCTACTGATTGATGTATATAAACTCCATCTCCTAACTCATCAATGTAAAAATTCAAATCTGTAATGTATTTATGTATACTCTCAAAAGCCAAATAAAATCTTGTGAGTATGTCTGAAAAATTATTGCGAAGTTCCTCATCAGTTTCTTGGAGCGTCTGGAAAAAATAAAAATACAAATGGCAACTTCTATCCATTTCTCCGTTCTTGATAATATAATAATAAGAATTACAAGAAAAATATTGAAAGAATACTCACCGGATCATCTTCTATCTTTTGCTCATAAATGCTGGCTGCCTTGAAGTATGCAAAATCGATTATAATTGATCCATACTTTTGTATCAATTGCTTCGAATCCAAGCTGCAATGTATAATAAGAAAACAAGATAATAGTTATTAAACGCATTATTTATATACATCATATACGTAATTATGATATGATAATAAAGAGCTATTTATTTTTAAATTTCAAATTATTTACATTTGCTTAATAAAGTTTACGTGTTATTACAATTAAATCGATATTTATAACATATAATAACTAAAATAAATGTAAATATTGCTCTATTAATTATTTAATTAACAAGATATCTCTTTTCCCAGCAAACTGACCTGAAGACCGGTGGTACATAATCTTTCAATCGCATTAGCTCAGCTATGATAGCATTTCCACGAGACACCAGCCGTAGCAAATTTTGTCCGCAAACATTATTAGCTGCTAAAAAGTCGCCCATTTTCTTTTTTGTTTATCTCAGATGCTTTGAACGACCATCTCCTGTCAAACGGATGATGTCTTGTTATCAGCCTTTGATGTGAGAGTTTGACAACTGATCTGCTCCTGCCTCCCTCCCCTCCGCCGGAAGTGTGAATACTTCGAGAAATCCGACATTACCATCCATCGTTTGGTCCTCCGCTTTCTATTTAAGCCGCAATATGTCGAGAAGGCACTAGTGCGCCATTTGAAGCTTTTGTATTGTGTTCATGTGCTAGTGTATGCGATTACGTGTGTACATGCAGATCTTTCGGTAGCGTCTCGTTCGCCGCTCCGCGATTGGGAAAAAGGATACGGATCAATATTTTGGCATTTCCGCAGGATACGAAATCGCGAAACGCGCTCGGCTCCGCGAGACACGAGAAAACAATTGGACGTGACGCGACGAGAAGTCGCACTTCGGAGATTCGTTTTCCCTCCTCGAATGCCGCGTGTGCGATGAACTGAATTTATTTTTTTGTGAGATCTTGAGTGAACAAATGTCTCAAGATGTCCAAGGACCAATACGGCCTTGCTCGCTGATCGGATCGCTGAGGGATCGACCGTGGTCTCTCTCGGTGTTGATTCGAAGGAACTTGGCAACGTGCTTGTCTCCTTCTCTTTTTTGGAATGGAGGTGAGGATCTGTCGTATGGAGAAAGAACTAACAAATTTGAATAATTCGCGAGAGGCGATTGATTGAGATTGATGAGAAAATAGACAAGTTGAAAGCTAAATGTGCCAATCAAAACTGGCAAAGGCGTAAAAATTTCGTATATCTCTTTCATCTCTTCTGAATATCTGCGTAAAAACTAGACAAACTAGAAAAACTGGATTCTCTGAACGATTTAGAAATTGATTAATTTTCAAATTTGTATTCTTATATAGAGAAAATTTTGCATAT